ATTTAATATAGTCAATGCTTGCATATTCAAGCAATCTAGCCATTGCTGTTAGAGAATTAAAGTACACAGTGACACTTATTTTGCAGATGAGCCCTTATGATCAAGCACTGCTATAAATATATGCCAAATAGTAGAAACAAAAAAATGTTCATAAGTTTGATAAACTTTTATTTTTACACAATTTATAGTGCACTGCTTAGCATATATATCACACTGATATTCCAGTGGAAGAAAAACTTCAGGAAAGCACTTGAAATTATTATAATGTAACTTTACACTGTGAATGTCTACTGATACAAGAATATTTCCTTTTACAAATGTAAAGACTTTGAAAATTAACATGAACAAATTATCATAGAGTTATAAATCATATTCTAATTGAAAAATGGTCAGCTTGATATCAAAGCTTTGAATGCAAATTTGTGAGCTTATTTATGATTTCCTCACAATATTAGTAGTAGATGATATATAATATTTTTGCTATTTCTTTTTCATCTTTACCTTATAGTCATTTCATGTCCATAATGACATATGACTATACTGTGATTTCATGAAAATCCTTATCTCTGGTGTGTTTTCTACTTTGGTATATATAGAGTATCTAGTTTTAATACTTAAAACAGCAATGAAATGTGGATATTTTACTCTGTTTCTATCATTGTGACATTATTGTAACAAGATTATGGAATCATAGTGTCAAACACCATAAAATCATACTCTTTTACATTAAGATTTTTGTGCTGGATGTCATTCATCTTCTTCAGGAAAGTACATTTGACTATTCTCAGTGGCTTATATTAAACTAATATTTCACTGTAACTGTGTGCTCTCTGATATCATTCTCAAATTAAGGAACTGGAAGGTGGTTGTTGCAATAAAGGTCTTCATGGACAAATTCTCCTTCATCTTTTTCCTTTTTATCTGCAGAATGAAAAATCAATAAATATGTTGTTACAAGTGTAAGACCTGAATATATTTCACTGAGTAAAACACTAGAAATGATATATACATTAGTCTTAATAAGCTGGCCATGATTGACAGAAAATTTCATATTTGAAGTAAATAAACATGAAAGATAAACAACAACACATAATTTATAACAGTCAAATATATTGATCTTCTTGAATGTGAAACATGACTGTTTTTAATGTTTTATTTACTTATCAATTATCATGCAGTGTATTCCAAAAATTATTAAAATATTTTGATAATTGTTTATCTTTCCGATCTCAACTAAGAATTAATCAATTATTTTACATGTATTTACCTTTGATGTATAGATATTTCAGGATCATAGGCAGTGCAAACAGTTGGTTAATGGTCCATAGTGAACAACTGTATATTCTATACTTGTCATATACCTCCCTGTCTACACATCTGAAATGGTTTATTCAAATATTATATTTTTTAATTCAATCATAATTTGCTAGGTACCATATTAACATGTATATATAATTGAAAAAGGAAAAGAATAAAAAAATAAGTGTAAGTGCCTTGATACTATATTCTCCATAGTTAGAAATGGAACAATACTATTAAACTTTGCATAAATCTATTATCTATCCATCTAATTATTTAATTATCAAAACACTTTCTTGGGACCTGGGTGTTATTATACTAATGTAAGTAATTGAAATCTTGAGAAAAAGGAAGGGAAAAAATATCCGAATTACTGTGCAATGTCCGAATTTTGTATAACTTTAATATACACTAGAATTAAAGTGTTTCTCTATTGTTTATTTCAATAAGTTAAAATGGTTTGAATAAATTTCTCACATCAGTAGTTTTAAAACAATACTACAAGCTAAACAACTAGAATTCACTACCTTGACAAAACATCCGAAACGTGCTTTCCATTCCTTCAAATCTGAAGAGGACCGAAACAAATTTAACTTCTATATCTCTCGAGTTCTTCGGGTTACCTATATGCGTAACGGTAAATAAGTCTGCCGATGTACCCGGAAGAGGTAAATCGAAAGTGAAAGTAAACGAGACTTACGGGCCCTATTAGGCAAACTATGCAACTAATGTACATCAAAGTTTTCATTCATGATATATCTCTCTTACACTTTATCTAGATCCTTTTCTCTTAACATATTGACCCTTTACTCTTATAATGAAAATGATGATATAAGTGTGAAAAATAATGTGTTTTATTCTATTATCCTATTGCAAAATATTTTGCAAGGAAGTGGTGACTGTTCTAAATTAAATATTCTCAGATTTTTATCCAATCAAATTCATTAAAATAGATAATGACTAAATAAATGAAAAAACATTCTTACACTTAAATTTAAAAAATGAACAGTTTTCTCTTAACATAATTTTTGTTGAAGTTTTGAAATTACCATGTTATGTTTAAACAAAAGGGCCAAGATGACTCTAGATCGCTCACCTCAACCATCAAACTTATCCAAGCAATTACTTAGACAAGCATCCTGACCAAGTTTGATGGCAATTGAATAACAAATTTTACTTATAGAGTATAAACAATTTTTTTCTCCATATTTGGGCAGTATAATCTAGTTTTTGACATTAAGGTGACCCATATTCGAACTTCACTTAGAAATTGTCAAAATTAACTTGCAGACCAATTTCCTGAATATTTGGATAACAACAGAAGCTTGTAAAGAGTAATATCTTTCTATATTTAGCTCATGTGACCTTGTTTTTCATTGAAGACAATCCATACTCAAACTACTGCATGAAATTAAGTAGAGAACCATTCTGACCAAGTTTGATAACAATTGAGTAAAAAATGTGACCATTAGAGTGGTAACAAGTTTTTTTTTTCATATTTCGCTGGTGTTTACCGTATTTAAAATTGACCTAGAAATTAATAAAACAAAAATTAGTAACACAGTAACCAAAGTATTATTACTTCCCTAGGGAAGTATTATATAAAGCATACAATCGTGCTACTTCAAAAGATTGAACTTTGTCTGTGACAAAACTCTGACACTACAATAGGTACACACTCCTTTGTCCAAAACCTATGGTTCAACATGTTCTTGTGCTTTATGTTTTGTTTAGAGTGTTTTGGCGGAATCTGATTAATGTAAGACCTATGTATATTTACATTTGGCTTATATAGTTTATCATGGATTGTGTTCTACATGTTAGTTCTTACATTAATCCATTATAAATTAATATTGAGTTTAGTTTTTTTAAGGTGTCATATATATCAATAAATATTTTGGTACATTATTTGCTGGAGTTTGTTTCTTGTTTTGAGACAATTGTAACACATTTGAGTAAAAGGTTCACTGACAGATTAGTTTATCAAGAACACCTGGCATGATAAAATGCTGCAATCAGGTAAATGTTCAACTGTAACCTGCTACAAAAAAATCTTACCCCACAATCTATATTTAAATATATTTCAAAACAACCGGATCACGTTCGAAACTGGGTTATTGTCAAATCCAGAAAAGTCCATATGAAAACAAGAAATGTCCATTTTGTACACACAATTACATTAGCAATGTTTTTAACATTATTATTCCGCTGTCCATTTAAGGTCATATTTCATCTTTAAAATCACGTGCATAATAAAAAAGATATTTATTTCAACAATTTTGCAATCCTTTTTTATTGACGGATGTCTTTTCTATCTGACATGAAAAAATGTCGAAACCTTCTACCTCTGGATGGAGTTAGGGGTCAACGAGACCAAGGTCATCAGTGCTAATATAATGTTAACACTTTTCCTCATACAACCTTCATTTACTGGCAAATGTTTTTTATATTTGGTGAAAAGATTAATTGGGTGGTATTCTTCCTTTGGATGGAGTAAGAGTCATTACGTCAATGTCACGGTTACCAAAAATATTTTTCTACACATTTATTGATAAAGCCTTTATTAAATGAGTATTGTGTTATTAAATTTGCATTGGTTGGATAAGAGTTGAAAGTTACAAGGTCAGGTTCACCTGTGCTAACCTCATTTAAAAAATCTCTTTCGTGTTTGGAAAGAACAGACTCCAGGTTGTCCTTAAATTTTGGTGAAGTTTTGGGTCACTTGTTTGAAAGTTTATGTCATGCATTTTAAAGTCTGATTAAGTTTTATTGGTAAGCTGACAAGATGTTTAACTCATTGACAAAAAGTACAATAACAAAAGGTCATGTCTCTGCTTAATTTTATAACTATGTTTGCAATTTATTTTTCAGCAAATTTCCGTCTGTTACCATCTGTAAGTATCTGAGTCGGGGCATTTGTGTTTAACAAACACGTGCTTGTTTTATTTTCTGATTAAATATTTCTAATTCAATTTTTTTGGACTCGGATAGGAAAAAATTACATTTAAGAATGATCTAAGAAGAATTTTAAGTATAATTCCTTAAACAGAAATGAATACGAGTATTTTAATACAGAAAAACTAGATCTGTTTGAAAATGATTAACTAACAGAGTTAATGTATGCTAAAACATTGTGAAGTGACAGAAATACCATTGGATTGCAAAACCGAAGTTAAACATTTTTGAAGCTTTACAAAAACGTTTCTTTGTCTCTTATACGAAATACTAAATTACTATAAAATTACTTATAATCAAACTACAATAAAGCAAAGGATAGTTGACCGTTATAGCCAAAAACTGTAACAGGACAGCAAAATTAAAGTGTTCGAGAAATAAAATAATAGCATTTCCAAGTTTGAAGCATGGGTAAATAACTTATTGTTATCCTTCCTGAGCATTTATGAAAGTTGGCTGTTAATAATTCCATCAAATGACAGCTCTACTGAAACAATGAGGACAGTTTACACAATTTGGCAGAAATATATCATGATAAAAATTTACAAAGTTTGTTCAAATGTTGCTATAAATAGATTTTCACGGTGCACTTTTTAAAACATCTTTGAGCTCATATATATATATATATATCAAAAATATCATTTAGAGGGATTGCTAAAACAATGGCATGCCACGAATACGAAAGATATGTTATCGAAGCTAGTCACTCTTTATACAGATAAAACATATGCTATTTCATTTTACAGAACCTGACGGGCAATCAACACCTGGTGATCAAGATAGATACAATCAAGATTTAGTTAGAATTTATTCGTTAGAAGATAAAGTAACAAGTATTGCATCCCTCTTGAAAATAAACGATGTGATTAGTACAAACGTTACTCAAGCCACTGAAAGATCTGGAGTTTTAGACCAGATTGAAACAAAACTTTCGATACTTTCTCTTCAAGTTCAAGATTTAAAGAAAAGTGATGCCGACAAACATTTGTTAGGGACGATTGTGAAGAAAACATTATCAACAGAAAAGCGGAACCAGAAAAAAGTTTGTGACGCTGTTGAAAAAATCAGTTGAAAACGTCAACAATTCTATTAGTGAAATCAGGACAGAAACAGAAAGCATAATGGAAAAATATAATGAAACGTTTATCAAAAGATGTGACAAGACTATTGAGGCGATGAAGGAAGTTACGATTAATATTAACCAAACAATTAATGAAGAAATTAACATCATAACCGAGTCTTTACATGATCTAAAGGAGGAATTGTCTGATGCAAATAGAAAAGGTAATTTTTGAATCGAAGCTTCCCGATTTATCAAACACATACTGGGTTGTTCGTTCCAAAGTATTTTAGGCCCTTTTGATCATTAGGGTAACATATTAAATCAGATAAAAAAGAGGTATTTTGATGTTTCGAAATTTTCCCGCAACATATATCCAGTTTTTTTTGTGTGTTGTGTAACAAAATCTCATGTGATATAGCAATTGCTTAACACATTTTTACAGGAATAAATATAATGTTATCTACGGTAACATAAGCCTTGTTTTAAAATACCCTCCCTATAGTTATCCGCAGATATGTTTGTAATATTGAATCGTTTTTATTTTAGATTAAATATAATAATAGTTATACACAACATATTAGACTAAATATCACAGTGGAAAAGCATACTTATGTAATTATAATGTTGCGACCTGAAATCACTAAAAGTTAGAAAAAGAGGTATATAGTATATTCGAGTGTAAGTATTATAGTTCTGTATATAAGATGATTGTTTATCGAGTGTTATTTAACGTTTAAGTCGGTGCATCTTTCTATATTCAGAAGTAACATGACACATTTGATGTACCTTGTGACGTTCCCCTTTTTTTACAAAAACAAATGATTGTGAATATTTCATGTTTTAATGTTTAACCCTGCAATACAATCTACTTTCTAATTCAAGTTATCCCTCTTTCGTCTTAATATATATGTGTAAAAAAGAGTGTACAATATTTGCATATTTTTTCACATATAAGGTCTTGATTTTAAACATTTTGCTCCTGACCGACGTATTTTCGAATCCCGCAAGGGATTTTGGAATCTTTTACGTTTAGCAGCTATTAGTCAGTGGTCTAAGTCAGGTAGTGCGTGCCTAAAATAATGCATTGAGGGGCACCCGCAGTCTTTCTCAAACAGTAAAACTAAAAAGTCGCCATATGACCGCTACGGTGTTGGTACGACATAGACCTGCACCCCCCCCCCCCCCCCAAACAAAAAAGAATATATACATTACACAGATTATCCATGTTTAACCTCATGAAAGTTAGATTGAATAAGAAATGTTTCAATTCGGCCGGGTATGAATAAATATGTTTTTTCAAGAGTATAAACTTAATTTGGTTAATCTACATTTCTTCATTTGCTGTCCGTATAAGGAAACTATGATTTTTACATGCCTGAGCGATGTCATTTGACAGAAAACTTTTATCTTTTTATAATGAAACTAACTTGTGTCAATGCAGTAAGATATCTACATGATGTCCAGAGTATCTCTTTAAAAAAACGGAAACAACGGCACATGCTCAAGTGATTGTATCCGTTTATGTATATGTTCTGCCTTGTATACATACTTGTGCAGAATTAACAACAAGAAAGTTTTAAAAGATAATTTGTAAAATGAAATTATTACTGTTTTCTTTTCTTTTTCATTATAGTTATTTTTGGTATAATGTCATGTGATTATATTTAGAAAAAAAATACTTCCGACAAACTCCTTTTACGTTCAATGCCCCCAAATGACACAAGGTTCGTTACAAATTTGTTTATAATACGAGAGGTGTTCAAATATGAATGCAATCAGGATAATATCTAACATATAACCACATTTTGCGCGAACTATGAATAAGTGTCGCATAGATGGTTGTGTAAGCTCTTAATTGATAAAAACAAGTGTACATCAGTTCAGTCAAGCTTTGACAATAATAGCTCGATTAACTCATGTATATTTAAGCTAAAATGGTTGGAAAATGTCTCCTTTCACTGACCAAATACGTCCTACATCAAGAATCGCTGATACAAATTTAATGAAATATGTCGTGTTTATGGGAACAATGAACTTTCTTTCATCTGTCACACGGTGGTGTAAGAAATTTAAAGGTGGGCAGGTGTGCATTCAGTAAAAGTTGCACCTCATACACACCGTCCGAAAACTGCAACTTCGCCAAAAATGGTTAAAACGTAAAGGTTTTGGTTGCTACTGATGCCAGATATACAACTAGGTTCATAGCTAAATGAATTGGTATCTCTGTAGGAGCCGGTCATTTAACTTTCAGACGTGATTTAGAAATGAAAAGAATAAGTGCCTGATGGATTAACCTATCTCTTTACAAAAGAGCCAAAACTTGCTCGTGTAAGAATCTCCAATTAATTGTTGAAACAGTTTCCGTGAATCAAACTATCTATATTTCGAAAATATCATTACTGGCAATGAGGCAGACGAGGGTTCACTTTTATGAACCCAAGCGAAAGATACATAACAAGATATTGGCAACCAAAGGAAGTCAAATACCTTGCATATCAATACGCACCATAAGCGTCAAAAAGTTCATGTATCTGATTTTCATTTTAAATCAAGCTTCAAGTAAATAGCCGAACCAAAGGGTAAATCTGTCAATGCCATGTTTTACAAAAGCAAGGTTCTTAATAAATTAAAGAAATATTTCAAAAACCGTCGACAAGCAACTAGTCTTCGTTGTGTCAGGTTGTTGCATGACAATGCTTCGTCACACAAAACGGTCATTGTACGATAATATCTGAAACAGAAAAAGGTTGTCGAGCTACCGCATCCTCCTTATTCGCCACATCTTTCCCCTAGTGACTTTTTCATGATTCCGAGGGTCAAAGAACACCTTCCTGGACGCAATAAAATCTCAGTTCGGCTATTTTGCAGTGTCTGAACAGTATACCTCGAAATGTTAATGAAAACGAATTAAGAAGTTGGATTAAAAGACTAAAACATTGTATATCACATGATGGTGAATATATAGAAGGATTGAAATAATCTATTTGGCATTGTTTTTTTAGCACTTCGGAAATTTGACCCAGTTGCATTCATATTTGAACACCTCTCAGATACACTTAAAAGTCTATATGATATAACAATTTCTTTAAGATATAATATAGTGTCTTCCCTGTTAGATGGTGACTGGTCAAGTTGGGAAAACTGGGGTCCATGTAGTGCCAGTTGTGGAGGTGGAATTCAAAGTCGGCATAGAACATGTTCTAACCCAAGACCATCTTTATTAGGAAGATATTGTGACAGAAGTCCGGACGAAACAAGAACTTGTAACAAACGACGCCGGTGTGCATGTATATGATTTATATACTTCACTACGCATTTAATGAAATTATTTCACACATACAAATTTATCATTAGGAGGAAATATCTACCGAATCCCTCACGCACATTTTAATCACTCATACGAATGCATCCGATATTCATGAAAACTACGTTTGTGTTTTTATCTCTATGAAAGCCGAAACAGTTTCTTTTCAGCTCAACTTTCATAATAATTCAAACGTTGCGCTTAATGGTGTACGAATATTTTGCAGGATGTTGTGCCAGCTTCACATCTCATCTTGATATATCTTTTAACTGTCGTGCTGGCTAAGTTTTTTACTACCACAAGGTTTAAGCTCAACATAATTCAGAACTATAATGATGGGCGAAATGTATAATGTTTATGTTCGTGTAAAATTCACACAATTCATTTAAATGTATTGTTTGTAAATGCTTATCATGCAGAAAATGCATTTTCATTTCAGTGGGATATTATGGAACTAGATTCATATTTGGTTATATGAAAAATTTTGAATCGAATAGTTCTCCTACATTCTATGTCATCTGTGCACAAGGTGAGGCCATCGTCAGAATTTCCATTCCGGATCTTTCCATTGATGAAGAAGTTTCAACTGTTGGCGGAGTACTTAAAAAACAGTATACAAACAGGCTTTTTTCTTCTTCTTCTGGAAATATTTCATCAAAGGCCGTTCTTGTAACAACAAATACTCCGGTCGTCATTTTTAGCGGAAATTTTGGAGAAGCAGGAGCTTCTTCTGACGGCAGTTTCATATTACCGGAGTCTTCTCTCGGAAGTACTTATCTGATTTCTGGCCATCCATCAACGGCTTTTGGTTTAGACGAATTTCTTGTTGTTGGAACTTCAGATACTCAAGTCACTTTCACATCAATTTCAGGCTTTTCAGAAACGTTTGCTTTGAAAAGAATGCAGACATATTATAAAATGGCCTCTGATATGTCAGGTACAATGATAAGCGCCAGTGCACCGTTGTTTTTGCTGTCTGGACATTCATGTGCGAACATTCCCGACATTTCTGTAAAGTACTGTGACTACATTGAAGCCGCCATGCCACCAATAAATGCGCTAGGTTCTATCCATATTATAAGCTTTATGAAGCCTCGTCCTGATTTCACAGTCAGCATTGTTGCACCTTTCAATCAAACGTCAGTAACTATAACAGATAAAGTTGGAAACCAAATCGAGATTTTGTCTTTAAATGAAAGAAATACCGCGTTCAGAACGTATACAGGCTCTTCAACTATTTCTGTCCTTACAGATTTGCCGGTTCTGGTGACCTTATATGGCCATGGTGGGTCCAAATTAGGGTTTGGAGATCCCTCGATGATGATTGTTCCGGACATCACTTTCTTCGGCCACGTGTATGATTTTTTCGTGCCTACAGATTTTGAAAGTTCTTTGCAAGTTATTATATCTGACACATATCCAGTGTCAGGATTGCTGCTGAATGGCAAACCAATATCACCAACAGAGACTATAGTTACAACAGTTCCAAAACACGGCACGTTCACAGTGGTATATGCCGATGTTGTATCGGGTAAATATCGAGTAACTCACTCTCTGGCAAACGCAGTCTCGTTTGGAGCATGGTTGTACGGTCGGACATATAAACAAGAATATGCTACAAATCTTGGAATTAATGTTTGATTTAAGGATGAGGGAACATTATAACACGATTACCGCTATTGTTTAAAATTTTCGCTTTCTTATCATGATGGAATTTCTTTTTTACCGTTTTGTTGCAATGCAGGAAAAGATAACATATTAACCATATATACATGCGATTGTGAGAGGATACAAAATATGTCCATATATATTTTTATACTCACAGAAGACATATCATATTCAAATTGTCCCTTTCATAACTAGCATCTTACTTTCGAAATAACTTTTTTTCATGCGAAATAAAACGTTTCTCATCGCAATAAATTTCAGAATTTCTTACTAAAGGTGTTTGCAAATTGGTAACACTTGGACGTCATGCTTATGAAGGCATCTTCCATATTGTATATTTATAAATACTAATAAAAAGTTCCAGTTGTTTCATATATAACGGCATTGTTTTAATAAATATTTCAATTTTCACTTACAGTACTTCAAATTCTTTTCATAAGTCATGTTCATAATAATATTCTGATAAATATAAAATGTATTTCCACTAAACCAGCAGGGGTAGAGTGCTCGTCTATCAAAAGGTAGACCTGTATTCAATCCCTGTCCTTTACTTTGATAACTGTCCTAATTGTCGAGAATGCTGTCATCGGAGAGCTCTGATTTGCTTATTTCCAAATGTATGCCCCTTTTTATATTCAATGAAATACATAGTTTACTTTTTGCTTGTAAACTGGTATCTCCCTAACTACTGAAGGGAATAGAATGAAACTTAACATACATTTTCACTGTGATTTTTTTAATAAGAATGGCACAGGTCCAATAATTCTGATTTACTTATTCACATATTTATGCCCCTTTTTATACTCAATGAAACATCCTTGTCACAACTCTATCGAATAGTCGAGCATTGCTGTCCTCCGACAGCTCTTGTTCATTTCATTAGGCAATAAACTCATGATGGTGTTACATGCATGGCATAATTTATCATGGCAAACAATAACAGTCACTTAAACGTTTGGAGAATTTCGGACAAAACATTTATTGCTTACATTTGAATATATGTATGACATGTCTAAAAATGATCTCCCTAAAGAAATGCTTACGTGCGCTATGCGCAGATTCTGTTGATATCTTCTTTTTCTTTTCTTTTTTATAATTTTACCATTATTTAAGGCAGTAGTAATGGTCTCGATAATTACCTTTCGCAAAATTCAAGATCAATAATTAATGTACATGTATCATAAATACTATAGGAACTGAACACAAAGTACTTCCGATTGTTTAACAAAACTTTAATGTTATGATAAAAAATCAACATGACCAATGCGCTATATGTGTTTAGCGGTATGATGATGTATCAAATAAAACCATTTATAACCTAATTGTACAGAGTAAACAACAACAAGAATCTGATTTTATAGACTTGTTGTTGGTCAGAAAAACAAAGCGTTGAATGAACACATTTTAACCTTTTACCACATAACATATTGTGAAAAATGGCCTTTTTCATTGAAAAGCCTCCTGTTACAAGTTTAAACTGCTGTAAAACTATGAAAAAAGCTTCAATATTGATGAATCATTATTTTGCAATGTTTTTCAAAGTGCTGCAACTTCTTAATGCATTGAGATAGATAAAAAGGCTTTTCAGCGTTGGTTACACGTTGCTTTAGGATCAACTTGAGGTCATTTTCAGCCTTTCACATGTCCAAAATTTTCTTGGCGATGAGGGGGACTGCCGCCACCTTCAAAACCCCCAAACAGAAGGGGGCACATCCCCCTTCTGGCAACCCCCTAATGTATCATTTTGATGGGGGCCGCGCAGAAAAAGTAATCACCTTTTAAATAACATTTCTCAAACGAGAAACTGTGTTTGGGGCCTAAATAGGACATTTTTCATTGTTTGAAGCCTCAAAAAGGGGGAGGGGACAAAAGCTTTCAAAACACACCTATTTGAGGGAAAAGGCTAACAATAAACAGACCTCTAAGTCAAAGGTCAAGGTCACACTAGGAGGTCATTAAAACGCTTATCCAGAGCAAAAGTTCTACATGTATAGAGGGATTTCAAAATAACAGATGTTCACCATTGTAAGGCGGAGTGTTGCGCCCTGCTTCCAAGGTCAAGGTCAAACTTGGGGGCCATAAACTACATAACAATATGTTAATGTGTATTTGAACTATTTAGTAATTCTTTATTGAGGGATTGAAACTCAAACGGTCATTATCATGACAACTGGTGTGAAACATGTTATTTAGGTTAATATATGCAAGGTCAAGGTCACTAATTAAAAATATGATAGTCAAGGTAACTAAAGATAATAAAATATAGAGAATTTGTCCGGAGCATATCTCCTACATGCATGGAGGAATATTAATGAAAATTCAAAGAAATGTTTGCCAATCTGAAAAGCTGCGTCATGTGTATAAACTAGGTATCCGAATCAAAGTTCAAGGTCACACTTAAAGGTCATTAAAAAACGCTTGTCTGGACCAAAAGTTCTGCATGCATAAAAGAATTTCAATATAATTACTTGGCACCAATGTTCACCAATGTGTGAGGGACTGTCGCATGCAAAATTTAAGGTCAAGGTCACACATTGGGGTCAAATTCAAGTGTGTATTCGGACCATTTAGTCAACTTTTATTGAGGGATTGAACCACAAATGGTCATTTTCATGACTACTGGTGTAAATCATTTTATATAGGTTAATATATACAAGGTAACTAAAAATAATAAAATATAGAGATTTTGTCCAAAGCATATCACCTACACAGATAAAGGGATTCTAATGAAACTTCATATAAAATGTCTACAACTATGAGAAACAGTGTCATGCGCATGAACTAGGTCTATAGGTCAAAGGTCAAGGTCACACTTAGAGATTATTGAAAAACACTTGTCCGGAGCAAAACTTTTTCATGCATGGAAAAATTTTAATATAACTTGGAACAAATATTTACCATTGTGAGACAATGTGCCGCGTGCAATAATGAGTTCCCTGTGACCAAGATCAAGGACACATTTAGGGGTCAAAGTTCTGACAAAAATATGAAAATGTATATTCGGATTATTGACGGATTGAAACGCAGATAGTCAGTTTCATACCTACTGGTGTGAAACATGTAATTTAGGTTGATATATGTAAGGTCAAGGTAACTAAAGATGATAAAATATAGAAGTTTTGTCCAGAACATATCTCCTTCAGGCATAGTTGGATTCTAATGAAACTTCATAGAAATGTTCACCACTATAAGAAGCAGTAGCACATGCATGAACAAGATGTCTTGGTTAAAAGTTAAGGTCACACTTAGAGGTCATTGAAAATTGCTTGTTCGAAGCCGAACGTGTACATTCATTTGAGGATTTTGATTTAACTTCGCACAAATATTCACCATTGTGAGGCTTTTTGCGGACATTATCCATGTCCCTTCTACCAAAGTCAAGGTCATATAGAGAGGTCAAAGTTTGTATACGGGGACCATTTAGTCATCATTAATTGATGGATTGTAACACAAATGATAACGTTCATGACTACAAGTGACACAGGTTATTTAGGTTAATATTTGCAAGGTCAAGGCCACTAGAGATGATGAAATATCCAGATAATTTCAGGAGATTGCGCAGAGCATACCTATAAAGCCAACATCTCTGTCAAAAGCTTTTGTGACGGGCGTATTTTGCGGCAATGTTGCCCTTGTTACAGGTAGAAAACAACGTTAAACATTTCTTTTAAACCATTAACATTTTCCTTTCTAAAAAAGTAAAAATTTAATGGTTTTGGGGCATAATGTGTCTTGAAAAAAGCACCTTATTGTTATTATATTAAAATCCTTGTCCTTTCTAACGCATATCAACAACAACTGTTATACAAATGTAATTGCTATCAAGAGTCAGAAGAAAAAAATGAAAATGTCTAAATAGTACTTCTTGTGATGATAAACTAGATGCGGCTTATTGTTTTATTTGTGTGAACATTGCAGCATATATTTGAAAGGGAGATAATTGGACTGTTAGGTTTGGATAATTATATCCATAGTAAAGGCCCCATTCTGCAAGGACAGTGCAATCAAAGCCTCTGTAAATGCACTCGTACTAATATCCCAAGTCAATAAAAACGCCTGATTGATAAGAAACGGTAGAATATAACAGCTTGACAAAGTTTTTGCACTTGCACTGCTTTAAAACAAAAATATCTCATTCATGACAAAGCTGTGCAGTGACCGACGCTAATTTAACCGTCTGATGTGCTTCAAAGAACATTTTGAAATAATCAATTATCAATTTTAGGAACATCAAAATGAAATAGTTTAGTCGACCAGTCAACAGATTAAAGACTGCAATTTACAGACTGGTCTGATTCTTTTCTGGTGGCAAAGATTGGTCACTTTCCGTACATTAATACTTGTACGGATAAGGCATATAAAATATACAGTTTTTTGACATAAGCATAGTAATCTCAATAACTTAAGAAACGAATGTGGACTCTTTAACTGTACAATGCTTCAGATATACGTCTCTCAATATTCAAACTAAATTGTAACAATTTAACGGTGTATGAATAATGAGAAATTCTTAGATATTCTGAGATATTCATACGCTGATAAAATTCTTCACATGAAACAATAGAAGCGTAAACGTAACTGCTATACACCAAAGTATTGAAACTATTTAATTGCAACACAATTTTTCTGACTTCCTGTACATTTGGAAATGTTTCCGCTTATCATTACAAAATACTCACATAAGACACATATAAGATGTTTATTTTTATTTCCGAGACTAGCAAACAAAGAAATCACTTTCAATCAGAATATATGTATCTTTTAATATCCCGTATGTTGAAATTAAGGATGTTACATACAGTTAATTAATTGAGATTATACACACGCTTCCTTCTAACAATTTTTAAAATTCAAAGAATTTGTTACATTTATACAATAATTTTATATGCATCATAAATTATAATGAATATTAAATAAATAAATAATGTATGTTTGATATTTAAATTTTGTCAAAGATTTTATCAAATATATTTCTTATTACCTCCCTTTGTTATTTATGAATTGTTAAATTCGGTGAAATCTTAGTAAGATAAATTGATAATTCTTCATTTGAGCCTCAGGTTTATCATATAATGTTTGCGGTACAGGGACTTTATATCATAATATACAAACGCAAGAATTGACATTTGTGTTGGGAATTATCAAAAGTAAAGTTTAATGATTTTGATTTTGTAAAAAGTTATTTATTTTTATCCATTCCATTTTTGTAGCGTATGGATATAAAGTACGTGTAACAAAGCAGTATTTTGACTTCACCAGACGAACGGACCTATAACAGTTGACATTCTTCCATAAAATGAGTACAATGCGGACTATATCCAATAATGATTAACCTTGACATAGTATGAATGACATTGTTCTCAAACTTTTCAGCTGAGCAAATCTATAAATCATAAAATAAAGATTTTATAACTTAATGTAACTTGCACTTAACATTACCGTTCATGAACAGACTCCAACAAACCGAGCCTGCAACATCTTCAATTTTGTGGTTGTGTGCATTCTTTAGGGATTCTTTATTTCTCTCTTTCTTATCAAACCACTTCACCTTTTTAAGTGGTATTTTATTACATGTATTGTCTTAATGTTAATTATCAAAATCTGGTTACAAAACAATCAAAAAGATATCAGAAACTAATATTGCATACAACATGGTTGTGTCAAATTACTAAACTAAACTAATTAGTTAGAATATAAGTAGTGTCCTCCTCATTTATCCAAAACAGTGATTCATCAGAAATAAACAGAAGTTAATCATCATACAGTTGACCCCAAATCAGATGGTTATTCGGGTATTTTTTCTTGATGGCATCGTGCAATTCTTTGCTGTGATCAGCATCACGCGTTTCACACACCACTTTTACCTGAAACGATACCTTGATGAATATTATGATTTTGAAAGAACAAACGTTAGCACAAACATACACACCGTCAAAGTGGATGTCTTAAAGTCGTCCGACATATCAACACTAAGACAGTTACAGGCACTGATTATGGATGGCAAAATATACTCGTTAATAATCCAATTCCTCGAGTAAATCAATACTTCCCTTGTGTCTTGGTGAATTAATCAACTCAATGATTAAGTTTATAAATCGGATTTTGCTTACGATACCATTTCTATCCTAAAATTTTACTTTACTAAAATTCAGATGAAGATTGAAACACAACTGGGCGTTTAGTCAAAGATAAAAAAAAAACTGAAGAATCATGGACCTCCAAGTTGAGTTTTGTACGCTCCCGTTGTGTTCTACGGTCACATGGGATATCTTGTTGACTTTTATGCAAATTTGTTTAAATAACACATTGATTTCTTGTCATGGTTTTCATTGTTATCATGATTGCACTCTTTAAAAGATCGACACTTGAAAAGTAAATCATATATGGCTAGAGTTGATAAGACGATAGAAATAAGCCAGATATCAATAATATGAAAAATAAATGTCTCACCATAACAGAAAATACGTCATGTTTCTCCCAAGGTCTTTCTTGGAAAATGTCCTTGATACTGAAAAAAGATTGCTAAGATAAACAACGTTACTCATACAGAACCGAGGGAATAAAACCTTATATCTATATGTTGCAGTTTACTTTTACGATATGGGAAAGGTGCTGCTAAGAGGTTTTGGGCTTGAGGGTTGCTATAAAAATACAGAAATACGC